CGATCACAACACACAGGGAGCATGCTGGCACCCTTCGAAACATCTGGTTTGTTCCCTAACTTGAAAAGAACCTCATCTCAGTAGCCCAGCTCACTGAGGACGGAGCACAAGTCGAGTTCTCGAGTGCAGTGTGCGCAATGAAGACCGGAGATAGTGCTCTCGCCTTCAGAGCTCTCAAAGGGAACGGGCTGCGTGTCGGGGATATCTCATCTTCACTTGTATTTCATATCATACCTCTTTACTTCTATTTGATCCAAGACCCGGGCTGGCCACCCGAGCTCTCGGTGATACATTACATAAGGCGCCAAGCCTCACTGAAGCCCCGCAAGCCCCACTGCCAACGCCATAGCCTTTACTATGGCAGAGTACGCTCCTACGCTCACTACCTACCTCAAGGGTACTGCTCTCGAGTGGTACAACACGACTTACGCCACCGGCGCCCCCGCGAGTTGGACAGCTTTTCAAACGGCTCTTGTTGCTCACTTTTATCCTCGCAACTTGCGTAATACTATTGAGCTCAAGCTCTCCGGCCTCAAGCTCGGTGACTCTCTCGAAAAAAATATCAAGGAGTTTCAAGACACCAATAATGAGCTCGAAGCCGCTCATCGTCTCGATAACACTCAAGGCACCATTCCCCTTATCGATCAGATTCGATACTTCAAGGCCGGTCTTCTCAAGAATACAGTAATCGGTCATTATCTCGCTGAAGCCGTTACGAACTTCGAAGTCTCAAGCACTACCAACATCAACACCCCTATCACTCTCGATCAAGCTATCACTGCAGCCCGTCGAGCTCATGTGGCTCATGGGTTCACTGACGGCAACCAAGCCAATACACCTCGTCCAATTGCCTCGGCAACAAGTGCTCATGGCGTCCGTGGAGCCAGTCGCGGTCGAGGTAGTCAAGGCGGTGGTCGTGGCGGACGATTTGCCCCTTACACCAATCCTCGAATTACGGAATTTGAGCAAGACTTAGATGATATGACCTCTGGGCTTAATGCCCTTGGTACGTCATACTATCCCCCTGGAGTGAGACGTCTCACTACAGGTCAAGTTCCCTACCAACATCAACAGCCCTTTTGTCGACGTGGACAATGGCAAACTACTCACGTTCCTCGTCAACGTCCAACGACTCCTTGTCCCCTTTGTAACAAAATGAGACATTGGAGAGTTGAATGCTGGTCAAATCCCGAAAATTGACCGCAAGGCTCGCAAACCCAGAACCGACGCGGTGGTTTTCGACAGCGCGGTCGTGGCGCTCAAACTCCGCAGCGCAGTCGCCAACCTAATCAACAACAAGGTTCAGCCCATCAGGTTGATGCTGGGTCACGCATTACGGAAATTCTGGGTGACGCCGTCAACTCTGCGAATACTACGAATACTACTACAAATCAATCTTCGAGTTTTTTCCAAGGTCGATAGAGCCCCTCGGTAGCTCTGCTCAGCCTACAACATACGATCCTACCGATAAACCTGCCTTCGAACCACTGTCTGCTGTACTCTGGGTCTCTCATTGTCGCATCGGAAACAAGTTTGCTTGTGTTCTTTTCGATAGCGGCGCAACTGGGTTATTCCTTGATAAGGCATTCGTTGAGAAGCACAAATTTCCCAAGAAACGTATCGAACCGAAGCAGATATGGCTGGCCGACAAAGAATCATACATGATTCTCGACACGGTCGTTTCGGAAAAGTTAGATCTATGGGATCTCAAATCTCAGTCCCTTTTCTTTGTTGGACAACTTCCCTGGCTAGTCGATAATCTGGCTTACGACGCTATTATTGGAATGCCTTTCTGGCTTTTCTTTAATTACGCTGAACAATTCTCGATGAGTACCTTACCTATCCTTTGCTGGACCACTTACGGCCCTATACCAAACGCACCGCAGTCTGTCACCATCTGTAACGGGAACACACACATCTTGGCTTAGTGGTTAAGACACCTGGCTCTCACCCAGGTGGCGTGGGATCGATTCCTACCTTCCCCAAACATTTTTCTCTTCTTTCTGTGACTGTACCACCTCTCCGGGGCGTTCCGAGCGATCGGGACGATTCCCTTGACACCATCAAGTGCGAAAGAACTCCAAGAAACTGGGAAGACGTCAAATACCATCCCGAAACACAACAACCCTTACTTCGACGTACAACGAGATCCGGTCTATGACAAAAGACCCTTCAACCTGTTTGGATCATTAAACCTGTGGATACTCGTCCTCTACAAGCCGCACCTCATTATGTATCTCGATTCGCTCAAGCCAATGCCCTTCGCAATCCTCAAGTCATAGAAATGACTTCTAAGCGATTCAATGAGGCTTGGCGACGGAACAAGTTTGAAAAAGACACGGTCTGTCGCCTCACTCTTAACGAAATACCGGACACTCCTCAAGAGCTTAAAGGAACTCCAGGACATCTCAAGGATATCCTCAATAAATACGTCAATACGCTCTTCAAGGAACCGGAAGGTCTACCCCCTGATCGCAGAGAAGATAATTTCAAGATCGAACTCACTGAAGGTGCTGAACCTGTTTGGCATCCTCTTTGGCACATGAACAAAGAAGAACTCGCTGAACTCAAGAAACAAATCACCTCAATGCTCGAAAAAGGATGGGTACAACACTCCTCAAGTCCCTGGGGAGCTAGTGTTGTCTTTGCGAAAAAGAAAGATGGCGGATTACGCATCTGTTGGGACTACCGAGGTCTCAACGCCGTCATCAAGAAAGATCGCACTCCTTTACCCAATATTCGTGAGATGAGGGATCGGATTCAAGATTGTAAATGGTTTACGCTTATTGATATTCGAGAAGCATACCATCGTCTTCTTATACGGAAACAAGATCGGGAAAAAACGGCAATACAAACTCGCTTTGGACATTTCAAGTATTTGGTCATGCCGTTCGGGCTTACCAACGCACCTGCTGCGCTTCAACGTCTTATGAATAAGATCTTCCATAAAGATTACGACGAATTCCTCGCTACCTACTTGCACGACATTTTCATTTTCTCAAAGACCTTAGCCGAACATCGGGAACACGTCGATTGTATCCTGAAGAAACTTGAGGAACACGCCCTTTTCATCAAGCCTTCAAAGTGCGTATGGGCTAAAGAAGAACTTGAATGGTGTGGACATATTGTCGGAAGACATGGTGTTCGCATCGCGCCCTCAAAAATCCTAGCTATCAAGGATTGGGCTACTCCAAAGTCAACAAAAGGAGTTCAAAGCTTTCTCGGGTTCACAAACTACTTCCTCGACTTTGTACAAGGTTATTTGGACATCGCTCTGCCCCTATCAAGTATTCAATCTTCGAAAGTGAAATTTCGATGGGGTTCTGAGCAACAAGAGGCATTTCAAAAGTTGAAAGAAGCGTTGATCAATGCGCCTACGCTAGCAACAATCAATAAAACCAAGCCAATTTATGTCTACACCAACTCATCAGGCTACGCTATCGCTGGCTGGATTGGACAACCTTCTGGCGATGAAACGATCCCTACGAATCTGCCTACTCTCGTCGGACAATGGAAGAAGTTACCTCGGCTCCGGCCTGTGGTCTTCTTTTCTAGAAAGATGAAGGACGCAGAAACACGATATCCTACGCCCGAACAGGAGCTATTAGCTCTTGTCAAGATGTTGGTCGCCAATTGACCATATCTCATCGGTTGTTACTTCCGATGTTTTAGCGGTCGCAAGGGACTCGAATTCATCCAAACGCACCCCCATTTGAGCAGAAGACAAGCCAATTGGGAAGAGAAGCTACAAGAGTATGATTTTGACATCCCGTATTTACCTGGACAATGGAATCATATCGCCGACATGCTCTCCCGCAATCCAATCTATGCGCCTCGGTGTGTAGATTGTCAACGACGCCTCGACATGCATACGCAGATCAGCAACATGCTTGTCAACAAACCTTCCTCCAATGCTACGACAGACGATCCACAAAACTCACCTACCTGCTCAGAAGAAGAATGGAAAAAAGCGCTACGCGAAGATCCATATTCGGATTATCTCAATGAAATTTCTCGAAAGCCTCAACACGAGAAAACTTCGAAAGAACTCCGTTATAGTTTGAAAATGGATTAGTACGACACGAAGGACGTTTATATGTTCCTGAAGACATTCGCCCAAAGATCTTGCGGAAATTCCATGACGAACTTGCCACCGGAGGACATCTTGGTGTTAAGAAGACTCTTGCGAGAATTCTTACGGACTATTACTGGCCTACCGTACGCTCCGACGTTATCAAAAACGTTGGAACTTGCAAATCCTGTCGACAATTCAAACCTGGTCATCGTCGATACGACCTCTTCCTATACCTTTTTGAAGATGGCACACGATCGGATTCGACATTTTCAAAGTAGATGAAACAAACTCTGGTCTTGTCTGCATTGATTTCTTTTCCGGACGTGTGATTCTGACACCAATCAAGAAGACAATTACTGGACGTGAACTAGCCCAAGTTTTTCTAGATCATGTTTGGAAACATGTCGGTACGCCAAAGGTCTTCGTTACGGATCGCGAACCTCGCGCACTTCAACCCGACTTCTTCCTCGCGATCGACATTCTCCTCGGTGTAAAACACGAATTCGCTACGGCTCGTCATCAGCAAACCGACGGCAAAGTTGAGCGAGCCATCCAAACCCTGAAAAGGATTTGGAAGCAATACCTCAACTACGACAAAAGCAATTGGAAGAAACTATTGCCTTTAATCGAATTCGCATATAATACCGCTCCGAGGGAGGAATATGAAGGTTTATCGCCATTCAAAGTAGATCTCGGACGCTCTCCAATCCTCCCGGGTTGGAATCCAACACTCAAAGGACAAGAACTCAAACTTCAAGCTGTAGATCGAAACGAAATCGAACTCTTCAAGAAAGGGCAGGAAGACATCTGTGAAAGTGGTTGATTATTCCCTGAGATAGGTCCTAAATCGGGTCGTTCGCGGGTGGAGATGATCTACTTGTGGAGAGTGCAAGGTAAAAGGTAGAGACCAACTAAATCCCTATTCTCACCACACAAGTAGCAAGGTCGCCGGTGGCAAGCATTTCAACGCCAGGCTTGACCACAATTCAGACTCTACTCTTGGCATGCCAAACGTCAGCTCCTTGTCCTCCGGCTTGTCTTTGGGTTTAGGGCCAAAGCTCGCAACGATGATCTCGAGTTCCCAAAGGTTGGGGCCTGCGTAGATAAGGTAGTTGGGCTGGTCGATGCGGGGGAAGGCGGCTTGGAGGAGCAGTGCTTCTGGGTCCTCTAGGTCGTCCCGAGTCTCATGGATGCCATGCTCTTTGCGGAGGGCCTTGGCACATTGAGTGTAGTGCGGCTCCACGTTGGTAATGACGACAAAGACGGCTTGCTTCAAGATCAATTCCTTTTCCCAGTCTTGCATGTGGTTGTGGGCTCTCGAGCGCGAGGTCAGCACCGGGTGGGGGAAGAGGCCGTGCACACGGGTGTACATGGTGGATGGGACGTCCGTATACTCCTTGTATTGGCTCGGGAGCATGATGGTTTCGATGTCCCTCCCTGAGACCCGGTACGGTCGGCCTTCCTCTATATCCCCCTCCCCGGTCTTCATCTTGAAGTCGGTCTTCCACTTGCGGTTCTCATGGTCGTAGGGCGCCAGACGCAGTCCCCTCGTCTTGCCAACGTTCGGGTGCTTGGTCGCAGTGATCTTGCCGTCGGTCTCCGCATTCTCCGGGAGGTCTTCTAGGCAAGGTGGGCAAACAAAGTTGTACTGGGCGTAGTAGTCCTGCAGAACTTCTTCGTCTTCCTGGGGGTGGGGAAGTCTCTGATTGTTGAGGCATTCTGGGGGGTAGAATTGGCTTCCACATCAGAGGTCTTCGAGTTCGCATTGGACAACGCGACCATAAATGGAAGCGCTATTGTCCGGGTTTTCGCATATGCAGACGGCCCCGTTCTTCTCTGCTCCGTAGTACTCCTCTTTATTTCCGGGCTGGTATTCCACGTCCCTCATCAGGGTCTCCCTCGTGAACTCGTCCTCTTCCGGGTCCAGGCCGGAGACGCTGAGAGTGGCGGGGCCAATGATTGCTTCGCCTCTTCGTCGTTCTTCGGGCGTGTCCAACACCTTCCTTTTCTTGCGGGTGTCGACAGGGGTGTCGCCGGCATTTCGCACGGTGATTCTGGGCAAGCGGATTGGCGGACGTTTGTTCCCCGTTGCCTTCACTGGAACGGGAGTACGGGAGCCGGTGGCTTCTCTGAACCGTCTGTCGAGCTGAGGGGGAGAGTCGACCTTGATTGGTGCGTGGGGGACACGGGGCGGACAGGGGTATCGGGAACCGGCGATTTCGTGCGCTGATTCTCGGTCCTGGTTGTTGGTCGCAGGATAGGCGGCTTCGAGACCGCATTGGACAGGTCTGCGACGCTGGATCTTCTTGAGGAGGTGGTGGAGGATCTTCGGGACGTGATGGTCGGAGTTCTGGGAGTACCGGTTTGGGGTCGAGAGGGGGGAAGGGGTAGCGTAGGAGCATGCTGGGGGACGGTGGTCGGTTGAGGGTTGGTGGGGGTTGAGGGAAGCGGCTTCTGATGCCCGCTATTTATGCATTTCCGAAGAGGGGGAATTCCCTTGGGTTCTGGGCGTTCTCTCCCTTCTGTCCTGCTGAGCATTCTCTTGCTGCACGTCTTGCTCCCGCTGGGCCGCTGGGTACTCCACCAACGTGGAAGATGCCGGTTGGTCCGCGGTTGCGTGCTTTTTTCCCTTTTTTTTTTTTCTCATTCCCTGCTCCTGTGCCGACCAGCTGACCCTCTGTTCCCTCCTTTGTTCTGCCTCCGCTCTGCGGCCTCTGAAGTATCCGCGCTCTTATCTCCTCCCCTTTTTGGAGACTTCTGCGTGGATTGTCTCGTGGACCGGCGTAATTGCATGCTGTCATCGCCGGTCTGGGCGTCCACCGTAGGTGATTCGTCCCCAACGGTGATGCCGTTTGCGCGACAGTACGTATCCAGTAGCTCCTGCCCTCGGAAGTCCGAGAGTACCACCCAGCTGTCGTGCCCTGTGTTCCAGTTTTTCCAGTGGCCTTCGAATTCCCACTTCCCATTGTCGTCCTGACGGTGGTCGATGATCTTCTTGACCTCCCATTCATCCCCGACATTGCCATCAGAGTCTTCCGAGTCCGTGTCCGGGTCGAGCGCTCGCTTCTTCAGTTCGTGGGACGTCCCGTACGCTCTACGCCTGAATGGCGTCTTCTTCAAGACTCGAGCCGTCGCTGCCTGTGCCAATTGAGCTGTCAAAATTTCCTCTTCGTCCATCTCAATTAGTTCCGTCGGGTCTAGCGGTCGCCTGGCGGTGAATGGTCGCATGCGCCGGATATGGGCTGTCTGGTAGATGACTTCAATTGGCAAGAGGAGTTCCATAAGCTTGTAGGTGAGGCCGTTGTCGCCGACACCTACAACCCGGTGTGGTCCACTCCATTTGGCAGCGAACTTCTTGATGGCCGTCACATTTTCCACGTTGGTCGACTTACGAAACTGGGGAATTGCCAGCCAGACTTGTTCTCCTAGCTGGGCGCTTGTCTTCTCGGAGTTCTTGTCGTACCACGCCTTTTGTCGTGCTTGGGCTTTGGCGACGTTCTCCTTGGCCAAATCCCATGCAATCTGCAGGTGCCTGACAATCTCCGCTTGCAAGTCCCCAACCGGCATTGCTCCTTTCCCAATCGCCTCCCATGAATGCTAATGCTGGGGCGGCCCCCAGTAGTTTCAGGAGCGCCTTCGGAACCTCGCTCGTGAAGGGCTGTCCACGGTCCGACGTTATCACTCCGGGGACCCCGAAGATGGTGAACACGTGCTCCATAAGAGCCCGGGCAACCATGTACGCCTTTGCGTCCTTCAATGGAATTGCGAAGCTGAATTTGCTGGCGTAGTCGATGACAACGAGTACGTATTTGAACTTCGTATTCCTTGTAGCCGGCAAAGGTCCAAGCAAGTCCATTCCGACCCGCCACCACACGTCTCCAATGACGATTGGGTCCATCTCTCCTCCTCTTGCAGACTTCGGCATTCCCGGCTTGTGCTGATTGCATTTGACGCAACTGGCAAGGTGATTGATCATGTCCGCCACGCATTCCGGCCACCAGAAGGACTGTTGGAGTCTGCTGTACGTTTTGTCTCTGCCCAGATGTCCTGCCAACAGGTCGTCGTGGCAGAGCTCCAGGCATCGTCTTCGCAAGTTGGCTGGTACGACAATCTGTTTGAACATCTGGCGTCGGTACCCGGGTTGGCAAAACTCTTGAATTTGATAGAGTCTGCCGTCCTGGACGCGTAGGTCGGATATCGTCCGTAGCATGAGTTGCTTTGTCAGGATGTTGTCCGGTAGTCCTCCTTCTGCTTGCGTTCAATCTCCTTGGCGAACGCTCCTTCCAGGGTAATGACACCTGGTGTTGCTGAAGTCTTCTCCGCGGCGGCCGCTTCTCCCCCCATCAGGAACACCTCGTCTTTCCTCTCTCCAGACGCTTCTTCAATTGCCTCCGTCTGGGTTCCTATCGACCTTTTCTCTTCCAACAAGGCTCTCGATATGAAGTCCGGTACTGCGTGGGACCGTGAGCTGCCGGCTTTGTACCGAATCTCCATCTGGTAGTCTTGGAGCGCGTATCTCCATCGCGCCCACTTTCCTGCCATGTCTCCGTGCTTGGCCAGTGCCAGCAGCGCAGAGTGATCTGTTTCCACCGTGAATGGTTTTCCCCAGATGTAGTACTCCAGCTTTGTCACGGCCCAGTGAATTGCCAATCCCTTTCTCTCCGTGTGCGAGTATTGCTTCTCTGCGTCCGTTAGCGACTTGCAGATGAAGACCAGAGGGATCTCCTTTCCGCCCTTAACCTTGTAGAGCGCGGCTCCAAGTCCGAGTTTGCTCGCGTCGCACTTGAGGACCAGCGGGCATCCTTCTTCCGGGAATTCCAGGATTGCCGCGTCCGCCATTCCCTGTCGCAATTCCTCGAATGCCTTTTGCTCTTCTGGTCCCCATTTCCACACTGCGTCGTTCTTGAGCAAGTCGTACAGTGGTCGAGCAATTTGGCCGTACCTCTTAATGTGCTGATGGTGGTAAACAGACATTGCGAGGAGGCGTTGCAACAGACGCTTTTCCTTTGGGGGTTTGACATCGAGGATCTTGGTCACTTTGGCTTTGTCTACTGATAACCCTTGGCCGTCTACCTTCTTGCCGAGGAAGTGAATTGCGTGTACCGCGAAATGGCACTTCTCCAGCTTCACTCGTAGTCCAGATTCTTGAATGCGGGTGAGGACTTGGGAGACATGGGTCATGTGCTCCTCGAACGTGTCGGAGAACACAATGATGTCGTCCACGTAGACCAGGCAGAAGCTGTACTTCAGTCCTGCCAGGACCGCGTCCATCACGCGTTGGAAGGTAGGCGGAGAATTCTTGAGTCCGAACGGGAGTTTGTTGTACTCGAACAGCCCATGGGGTGTACAGAAGGCTGTGAGGTGCTTGTGCTCTTCCTTGATCAGTATCTGCCAGAAACCCCAGCATAGGTCCATGGTTGTGAACCACTTTTTGCCGGTGAGGAATTCAATGGTCGAGTCGACTCGAGGCAGCGGATAGGAGTCGGGTATCGTCTTTGCGTTGAGTTCACGGTAGTCAGTGACGAACCTTAGTCCACCCCCCGGCTTTTTAACTAGCAACACCGGAGCGGCCCATGGTGTTCTACTGGGTCAGATGAGGTTGTCCTTCAGCATCGTGTCGGTGTGCTCGCGTAGAACCTTCTCCTTCTGCTGGCCCTGTCGGCGTGGAGGGTGGGCGATGGGAAGAGTCCCCGGCATGATCTCCATGTGGTGTTCGTACGGAATGTTCGGCTTGTCCGGAATTTGGGAGTCGAAGGCTTCCGCATTTGCTAGCAGTACGTCCCGCAATGCTTTGTCTTCTTCCGGTGCCAGGTGTGCTCGAGGCGCCATTGCTCCTATTTCGTCTCGTCCTTGGCGGGCGGCTGGTGACGTGTAGGATTGCGCGTCCTCCAGAGGGGTAGCGGCCGCGTCCAAATCCTTCATCTTGTGAATGGCCGATGTCTTTGCCAATTCGCCAATTTCCTCCTGCCCCAACCCTTTCACCTCCACTGGTCCCTCTTCCGGCTCATCCGTTCCACAGGCCTTCACTTCCTCTTGGCTCTGCAGCGTGTAGAATGCTGAGCCGGTGGTGCTTCTCAATCCGGGCATCATCCAATGGCGTTGGCCTCCGGCCTTTGGGCTGCTCGGCCATGCGGGCGGCGGTGGCGGTAGGTCATTCTTCAGGTTTTCGGTCAACCATCCGCTCAGCTTCTCCTCCGTCAGATACGCCTCAGGTACCGGTTCTACCCGTAAGTCGTGGTCGCTGGCGGTGTTTGTTCCGACGACATGATTCTTCCAAAGGATGCGCTTCCGGGGCGTGAGATTTGCGAATGGGTACAGCCATTCTCCGTTCTCGTCGGCCTTTCCAAGTTGGTTCGCACACCATATGCCTGACTCGCCTAACGCCTTGCTGCCTTCGACTAGGTGCGTCGTTCCGGGGATTCCTTGCTTCGTTCCGCCGACCCGTACGTGCGTCACCGCCATTGGTTTCAACACCACTCGATCTTGCTTGATAACTACGTTGTAGCGTGATGGCCCTAGCGGAGCGATCGTCGGGAGGTGGGTGTGAAGGGGATGGTCTTCTAGCGTTATCTTCGTGGGCGTCGTCATTTGCTCCTCGGTTGGTAGTCGGAAGGCGAATGATCTCTTCTCCATGTCCATGACTGCCCCCATTGCATTGAGCCCTGGGATGCCGATAAGCACCAATCGTCCCAAGTTGGGTATGATGTTGAACTTCAACTTGTAACTGTGCCTTCCATTGACGCCAGGCTTGACTCTCAATTCAATGTGGCCTATTGAACGGC